TCGACCCTTCCAACGCTTTCTCATCGAAGAACTCATTAAACTATTTGGCCGTCGATTTGCCATCAAATGTGCGGACTCTGTATAACAAGTCTAAAGCCAGGGATGTTATTAAGCTACCGGTGCCCACACCCAATGAAGCAGAAACTAGAGTATCTTTAGATCAATGTATGGCTCTCTTTACGGCGGCCGAGCATTTGAGTGGTGATAACCTGTGGTCTTGTCCCAAATGCCGGTGCCATCGGTCGGCCGTCAAAAAGTTCGACATATGGTATGCTTTTCGTATCGAGATTTAAACGTTTATTAACTGTATGTTCCCTTTTGATAGGTCACTCCCGGATGTACTCATAATACAGTTAATGCGGTTCTCATATCGCGGTGGATATCGTGAAAAACTGGACGTTCCGATCGACTACCCCATCCGTTCCCTCGATATGAGTCAATATATGACACATAATGACGGCTCAAACATCTATGACTTGATCGCAGTGTCCGATCATTTCAGCGAACGACTTGAGACGGGCTGTTATACAGCTTACGCACGAGACTATCGCACAGGTAGTTGGCATCACTATAAAGACAGGGAAGTGAGTGAAGCCTCGGAGCAAGATGTAGTGTCCGGCAGCGCGTATGTTCTTTTTTATAAGCGCCGGTAGTATTTGTCTATATATTTGTCGATTTTATTTACCAGTTATTCTGTGACTTTGTTATAACTATTTTATCAAAACTTTATTCAATATTAAATCCATATTTAATTCAATAACAAACACCACTTAATTGATTGAAAATCGATGACCACTTGTGTGGACAGTCGTGACCACACGGGGACACCATTAAGTATAGGACCGTTAGTATCACATCGTTGTCAAGTCATAACATAGCTCTCAATTTAAGTCTGGTATAAAATACTGACTAAAATCGATAAAAACGCATAGAATCGCTCAAAAACACAATCAGTGGTCACTTTGATGGACACAATCAGTGGTCACTTTGATGGACACAATCGCTGATAGCTTTGGCCACGTATTCAACATTCGTAGTGTTGAGTCCACACAAACTGATTCTCCCATCTTTGGGCGCGTATATGTGGTAACGGTCTNAGAATCGCTCAAAAACACAATCAGTGGTCACTTTGATGGACACAATCGCTGATAGCTTTGGCCACGTATTCAACATTCGTAGTGTTGAGTCCACACAAACTGATTCTCCCATCTTTGGGCGCGTATATGTGGTAACGGTCTAAGAGATGCTGAACCTGCCGTTCCCCTAAACCTGTGTAGCAAAACATACCGCACTGTTCTGTGATGTGCGACCACTGGCCTGGAGTTCCCGATCGCTCGATACCTTCCCTCAGCGCCGATCGCATGGCTCGCATACGACTCGCCATTACTTGAATGCATTCTTCCCTTTAAATACAATTTATGTGAAAATCGCACAAATAGTGCCGAAAGACATACCATTCCTGTCTGAGTGTAGGGTCAGTCAGTACTTTGGTTACAATGCGCGACCCATGGACTGGAGGGTTGCTATGGAAAGGGCGGGCATGTCGTCAATCATTGCTCTCAATCAATGACTGCTCGCTCTGAGTATACCTGTAGTTCTCGCGAACCAATCGAGTGATCTGTGACCTCACGTTCACCGCCGGTTCACAGCTCTTCAGGACCACCGTTAGGCTACCGATGCGCTCATCTGTTACGAGAGGGACAGGTATGTTAGGGACCGAGATATTACACAAAACGCCACTCACTATAAAGACCGAAGTTTTTGGCGAAACTCTGGGCGCATATCATCTCAAACTCCATGTCTACAAATGTTCGGACACTGAGTGCATCCCTGTCCACATCGCCAGATGCCAAGCCCTGGTAGGCGCAGTCGAAAAATGGAAACAACCGGCGCTCTCGCATCACCTCCGCTATCGTCAGCCATTGATCGCCAGTTGGGTCGACACCCGTCGGGTTATGAGCGCACGCCTGCAATATTACAATGGAGTCTACCGGTGCCGCCCGTAAGTCCTCTATTAGACCGTCAAAGTCAAGCCGACGGGCGCCGGCGTCCCAATACCTGTATGCGCACACATTGAGGCCTACGCTCTCCAATACTGACCGGTGATTGGCTGTTAAAACACAGATAGAGTTGAGTAGTGTATTGGCGATTGGGACGGGTATGTCATTGCGAGCACTCACTCCATGAGGGGTCCGACACATAAACGGTGGTAAAGCCGGCGCTCCGACTCAGGAACTCAGCGCCAATCCTAAGAGCGCCCGTTCCGGACAGGCATTGGATGCCAAACGCCTGTCCAAAGGAATAATATTTGAGTGATTAATGGGTGGGAAATGGATGTCAAACCCGGCGCTCGTCGATAGCCCTGCAGTTGTCTCCCAACAGGAGTCCGGCGGCCGAAGAGGCGAACGAGTCGTCCCCTAATTGACCCAAATATTCGTAATCCAGTGACTCATCCGTCAGTATCTCGAGCACAGCCTTCCGGACGACGGGCAGTACCCATGGCTTCCCCTCATCCGTCCGATAGGCTGTCCATTAGATAACACTTTAGTTACAGTATTACTGGTTATATAGTTATCATAAGTGAGGGACAGGTATGTCAACTGACCACCGATGCCGAGGTCTA